TAGGGCCTCGATCTTGTCCGCAAGCGGACGGATGCCTTGCGGCGTCACATAGTGTCCCAAGTTTTCCAGCTCCTGCTGTGCGAACTCGCATTTGTGGTGGTTTGCTTTGTACTTGGCTTGTCGTAGCCGCTCCAAAACGGTGCGCAGGTGTTCCACATGCTCGTCCAAACTCCGACCATACATCAAGATGTCGTCGAGGTAGATGAGTACAAACCGATCCAGCATGTGTCGGAACTCCGTTGTCATAGCCGCTTGGAAAGTGGCTGGGGCATTCGTAAGGCCAAACGGCATGACCAGCCATTCGAAATGCCCATACCGTGTCTTAAACGTGGTCTTGTAGCGATCCTCCTTGTGAATCTCGAGTTGGTGGTATCCTGACTTGAGATCCAGCTTAGAGAAGAACTTGGTGCCGCCCAATCGCTCGAGAAGGTCGTCGATGCGTGGGAGAGGGCCGGCGTTCCTGATCGTCTGCGCGTTGAGCTTGCGATAATCGATGCACAACCGCAGGTCCTTGTTCTTCTCTCGGACAAAGAGGACAGGAGCACCGTATGGCGATGAGCTAGGCCGAATCCAGCCTTTCTCTAGAAGATCGTCAAGTTGTGCACGGAGCACACTTAACTCTTCCTCGCTCATTCGGTAGATGCAGCCGCGCGGAGGTACGGCCCCGTCCTCGAGGATGATCTCGTGGCGGATGGGCCGATCCGGTACTACTCTGTGCGGGCCTTCGAACACGTCGCTGTAGGCGTCGAGAAGTTCGGTGATGCGTGGATCCGAAGATAAGTCCGTCGATGAAGCGTCTCGGGGCGGGAGGGCGTGGAGAAAACACACCCCCATCTCCTCGATGTTGTCTCTGATGATGGATGCTCGAATGCTTGCGGCGGATACCACGTGGCAGCTGATCGAAGGATGAGGAAGAGGTACCGTGCATGGAACTAATACTCCGTTCCGATCACGAATGTGAACGGTGCGGTGGAAGAAGTTCACCGGGTGATCCTCGCTTCGCAGCCATGACATGCCCAAGATCATGTCAAATTTGGTGTCCAGAATATCAAAGGACACCGCCTCACTCGCGTGAGGGGCAAAGTACATGGGGACGGCGTCAATGCACTGGTCGATGGACTTGTGCGTATGACCGTCTGCCAAAGTGACTTGCGTAGGTTGGGACTTCCTCCGGACACGTGGGCCAAGGCCGGCGCGCACCATGAAGTCCTGGCTGATGTAGTTGCGAGATGATCCGCAATCGATCAAGGCGTTGCAGGTCGCCTCTCCGATCTGAATGCGTACATATAGCAATGGTGCGTCGATGTCGTCGTACCTTTGCGTTTTGAACTCGCGATCGATCTTCACAATGTAAGCGTGAAGGTCGACAACCTCTACTCCGGCGTCCATCAACGGAGCTGGTACTGCAGTGTGCAAGTAATCTCGCAGTTGTGCCATGAGCACATTGCAATGCGGTTTCGGCAATCGTCCGGTCTGGGGAACGGGCATCCACTGGAAGTCCGTGAACGTCAGTGGCTCGAGCACCTCAAGTCTTGACCACGACGATGAATCCCCGACGATAGATAGCGGCGAAGCTGCCGAATCGGTTTCTGATGGTGATGAAACCGTGCATGCGGTAGATTGTTGCACGTGGAGCGGTTGGTCCAGCAGTTGGACCAAGTGGACAGCATAATCCTCGTAAGTGTACCGAGGACTTGCGACATGCGCATCCTCCCCAGATGTGTAGGAGGCCGCTAGCAAGGCGGCCGAATCTGGCGGAGTGGGAGGTGGAGTCGCCTCACCTCCTGCGCAACTCAGTTTCCCGAGTTAAGACGAGGCCGCACATCCTCCTTGGCCTGATCTTGGCAAATGGAGGTCTTGTGCTTGGTGTTGTTGCACCAGTAACAGCAGCCGTAACGGTTGCGGTACTTGTACTCGGCCTCGGTCAAGCCRAACTTGACCCATGGTGGTGCTGGYTGTCCGTTTCCGGCCTGCGATGCTGGTTTCGCCTTCCTGTTCACTCGGGGCTTGTTGCTTCGCGGCTGGACAGCAGCCACCTGATCTCCCTCACGTGATGTTGGAGTGGCTGCTGGGTCTTCTCCACTGTCCGATTGGACTGCAGCGAACTGCTGCTGTCGCGGACCAGTTCGTACCTTCTCCACATAGTTTGGCTGCCACGTTGACTTCTTGTGTGCGGCCCCCCTGTTGGTCTTGATGATCTCTCTCGCCTTGTTGATGATCTCTGCGAAAGTGCTGTACTGCTCGCGATCACCCAGTGCGAGGCTGAGAGCGGCGCATGACCTGTTGTAGAACTCACGGCGGAGATGCGGAAATGGCAAGTCCAGATCGGGCGTGGCCATGATCTTCTGCCAATCCGTGAGCCAGTCACATGTCGGTGTGCTCCCTTGAGCCATCGCGAAGATGCGGTTGATGGCGAGCGCGGGTGCGTCATCCACTATGAACCGCTTCTTCCATTCCTTTGTCATATCCTCCCAGGTGACCTTCCTGTGCAGGTCTGAAACCTGGACGCCGTGGATGGTTGCCATGTGGCTGAGCCAGATCTAACATCCTCCCTTGGTGTTGATGAACAAAGCACTGATGAACAGATGGTCAGGGACCTCATGGATCCCCAACTCCGTTGTAAATCCTTGCCACCAGACGACCGGGTCTTGATGTGTGTAGTCATCAAATTTCTCGATCCGGAACGTCGGCATCTTGTATGGCCTCGCCGAGCTGTTGTTGTGGCTGTGGTCGGTCTGCTGTTGCTGACTGATCTTGGTGTCCAGCAACTCGAACCGCTGGCTGATGGTGGCCGGCTCTGTGAAGGCACTTATGTCTCCTAGCATTGCCACTACGTGGTCAACGCGTTCCTCCAGTTGGCAGCTAGAGGATGCACTGCTGGAAGCCCCAGCAGCTGGTCCTGGTACATCCTGTTCCAGGTCCAGTACACGGGTGTCCAGTGCCCGTGTGGCATCCTCATGCTGAGTCTTATGGTTCCGCACAGCCCGCTGAAGGTTTGCCAGCTCGGACTGCAGGTGGTTAMATGTGTAAACCAGCCTGGCCACGAGCTTGGCCAAGAACTCCTTATGCTGCTCTTCCGGTGTTGGCTCGTCGCCGTTYGGTTCAAAGTGCCAGTACTTGAGTCTGTCGATGCTGTTGGCTTCGTGCCGCAGCAACAGATCYTGGGCTTCCTTTCGGTGAGCCTGGGTATCTGCGTCTGCTTCGGCCTGTAGCCGCARCTTCTCTGCTGTTGCCGCTTCTTCAGCCTGTAGCTGGGAAGCCTTGGCTGCCAGCTGGCGTTGTTCCTCAGCCTTGATTGCAGCGAGCTGAGCCTGGAAACGCTTTTTGTAGTCGGCAATGGTCTCGTTGGCCAGTTGGCCTGGCATGCCCAGAGCTGCGCCCGTCATGGTGGCGGGGCATTGCTGACGTGGCACTGTGTCTGATGTGGCACTGTGTCTGGCGTGGCACTGCTGACATGGCACTGCTGACGTGGCACTGTGTCTGATGTGGCACTATGTCTGACGGGGCACTGCTTACGTGGCACTGCTGACGTGGCACTGTGTCTGACGTGTCATTGTTGATGTGGTACTGTTGACGTGTCACTGTACCAACCCGGAAAATGCATGCAAAGGGTGGGTGGGAGGAAACACGCAGGTAGGAAACCAACTCAACAATACTTTCCTCCGACCCTAATCAACAGATAAAATAAAATAAAAAATAAAAGAGGACTACTTCCTTTTTTTTTTTTTTTGTATATATCTGTCGATCTATGATGAGTAGGATATGTCAGAAGAGTATTATGAACGAGATCTAGGCTGGGTGCCGCAAAGTTTCGGCTTTCACTAAAATGCGATCTTTGAAAAAAAAATTGCGAAATAAAGTAAAGATGCGATTTTCAGAAAGAACGAAATGCAGTTTCTGAGAATATGGCAACCTCTGACTATGCGTACCGAACGTTGGTAGGCTCCGCAAGATTTCGGTTTTCAAAAAAATTTGCGAGATAGAATGGAAATTCGATTTTCAGAAAAGAATAATTTCGGTTTCCGAGAATATGACCACTTCTATCGCTATCCCATTATGCCTAGAAAACGAAATACTAACTTCAGAAATTTCAGCTATGTATGCGAAGTAGCAGAGAAACGAAATGCTACTATCGGGAATTT